TAAGAAAATTTATTTTATGTTATAAAATTACTTCAATAATAATTTATTATCGCTGTCCGTAGTATAGAATATACTAGAATAGCAAAATATCACGCGCAGTTAATAAAACATTAATAAATCCATAATATTTCTCCACAATTTTAATCCACAATTATGTATTTAGCATGGACATGCACCAACCGGTCGTTTTACCATGGTACTGAAAAGTGAATCTGGCCATGTAGTTCCGCCGGCTCTAAAATGGATCTAGTTGACGCTACTGTACCAGCTAGAAAAAGTATTTTATGAAAAACGACGGCGTGATCCCCCTAGACTTCTCTCTGGTAACACCAAGCCGTTGATCCAATCATACGAACTGAATGTTCGCGTTCCTTGCTATACTATTTTCATTTTCCAAGTTGGTCATAAGTCATAATTCTGAGGTTATAATCTTGCATAATAATTCAGACTTTGAACTTAGAGCCACGTTTAAAGGAGTTACAAAAAAAATAAGCCCACCGTTGACATTTAATTAAAAATAATTGAACGAGAATAGTTGAATATCTTTATTGAGCGAGAATGGCGCGTGTGCTTGTAGGTGTAAAAAGAGTAATAGATTATGCAGTGAAGGTAAATATATATGTTTTCTTTAGATTTTAATAAAATATAACGTACCAAAAAAAAAAAAATTAAACTATTTCTGACAATTTATTATATAAAACAAACACTTCTCCACGACGAAATAATTTTTGTGTAAAAAGATTCGTTTTCATTCATTTTTTCAATTTACATTCTTAGATTCGTGTCAAACCAGATAAGTCTGGAGTGGTTACGGATGGTATTAAACACTCGATGAACCCTTTCGATGAAATAGCTATAGAGGAAGCTGTCAGAATGAAAGAAAAGAAAATTGCCCAAGAAGTGATAGCAGTCAGCTGTGGACCAGCTCAGTCGCAGGATACAATCAGAACTGCGCTCGCCATGGGTGCAGACCGTGGAATTCACGTAGAAATATCTGGCCCTGAATACCAGACGTTGCAGCCCATTCATATCTCAAAGATATTGGCAAAATTGGCGCAAGAAGAGAAAGTGGATTTGGTAATACTCGGCAAACAAGCCATAGATGATGATAACAATCAAACCGCACAAATGACTGCCGGTGTCTTGGATTGGCCAGCTGGAACATTTTGCAGCAAGGTAATAAGGTAACGAAATTTCACATTATTATTCCAATGTCTTACTTTTTCTTTTTTTATTCAGGTTGAGAACAATAATGGTGAATTAACTGTTACACGCGAAATTGATGGTGGATTAGAGGTAATCAAGATGAAAACTCCCGCAGTCTTGAGCGCCGATCTTCGCTTGAATGAACCGCGTTACGCGACTTTGCCAAATATTATGAAAGCTAAGAAAAAACCCATTAAAAAGATAACTCCGAAAGATCTCGGAGTAGATACAACGCCGAGAATCGAAATACTCTCGGTAGAAGATCCACCAGTTAGACAAGCTGGTGCTATATTACCGGATGTCGACACCTTGATAAGCAAATTGAAGGAAGGCGGCCACGTTTAGTCGACTCTTATACAGGGTAATTATAAAAAGTATGATAAAAGTTTTTAAGCCTTGTTATATTTTAATACTTCCTTTTGTATATAGCATAATATTTTTGTACATTATCAGAATTTGTATATGATATTTCAATAAATTTATATCACGCAAATAGAGAAGAAGTAAAATATTTAGTAATATATATTACACAGATTGTAATATATATTTAATAAAATATTGCCTATATATACATATATATATGCTTTATATTTATATAAGCATATATATTCATACAATATGTAAAGATCTCTTTTTGCGTTCCTTTCCAATACTTACCAACTAATGAATCTATTTTAAAAAAAAGTGGGACATCAAATATATATTTTTGAAAATCGATTATATCTAAATATATACATATATATAAAGGTATCATTTTTCTTTTCTGTAAAAGGTAACATCAATAACGATAACTATAAATATATTATTATTCTATGCATCAATTTATTGCGATGCAATGCACATATCATTAAATTAGATTTAATGTCACATTTAATTGACATGTCGTAATTCTAAAATTTTCAAGAAATGTTGATAAAGCTCATATAGAAATATTTCTCTAGCGACAGAAAATCACAAATAATATGCACACATGCATTTTATCGGTTTTTCTGTATCTCTACTACTTTAATGTGTCGTGTTATAACATGTTGAAGAGAAATATTAATAGTTATATGAATATTAATCCGAAAATAGCATGTTACTTTAAAATATTAAACCACATTTTAGTTATTTATTTAGTGCCTTATCCAAGATTCGGCAAAAAAATGTGTCCAATCAAGACTAGTATATATCATATATATATATATTAGATATTTAGCAGTATTGGTATACATCATATACCAATAATAACATTTTGGCTAGTATTTGTATTCTATATAACCATCATTAAGGGATAAAACTATACTTCAATACCCGTATATCATTTTCTGAGGAAATAAATATGTTTTAACTGTCGAGCGATCGACTAGGTCTTGTTTTTTTTTCTTTTTTTTTAAATAATCATATTTTGTATATGTCAAATATATATTCTTCCATAACTTTTGTTTTTTTTTTTTTGATTCGTTGGAATACTGTTGTTTCAGTGTCATTGACATTGGGAACAGCCTTGCATAAAAATTCATTGTATTATAACAGTCTTTTGTATATATATAGGTTTTGTGTAAAATGTTTTCCTCAACAAAAGCTAAACATTATTACATTAGAACCTCGCGTGCAACATTATTACATTAGAACCTTCCAATCAAATCTACTATTGCTGGTATGAGTAATCGGTGGAAAGGGAGGAGGATGGAGCTGCCAGCCGTCAATACTTTGACGCGCAGATAAGCATGCCAGATAAGGTACCCTTTGAACTAATCTAGTTACTTCGGCTGCCGGGGGTATCCTACCACCGGTCAATTGTCTGGTGCAAGCTGCTAAGGAAGCTGCATGCGCCACTATTAAAATATTACCAACTGTATTCTCTATGATCTTTTTGATCAACTCGTAACTCCGTTCATAATACTGCGCGGCGTTCTCTTTTGGAGGAAGCTCCTTAGCTTTTACAATCGGATCGTAATCAAGATCCACATTGAAACCCGCCTTCACCAACTCCTCGGAAGTCATCCAGACAGGTATGCCATTCGGATACCATGCCAACCATTCTATCAGACCTGGCTCTACTTTGATCGGAATATCAGACTCGAATCCCTTTAGAATATGGGCGAGCGTCTGAACGCAACGCAATGACGGTGACGTGAAAGCCACGTCAATCTTAATACTCGACGATTTCATGGCCTCACCTACCAAACTCGCCTGCATCTCACCTACGGTGGTCAACGGGCTGTCATTTTGAAAGTCCTGGATGTTCCTGGATGGTACTTCCTTGGGCATATTCAAGTCACGGCGCACATAGGAACCGTTCGATTCGAAACAATACGGTATCCATGTGCCGAAAGTAAAATCCACTCTCTCGCCGTGCCGACATATGAAGATTTCTCTGGACGGTGCTTGAGATGCTTCTGATGCTGCCATCTGAAAAGGTTTGGAAACGATATATGTTATAAATTCGCCAATGATTATATATGACAAAAAACAAAATATATTTCAGAAATAATTACTGGCTCGTCGGCGATGGGAATTCCATCAGGTGTATCCACGGAATCGCTCGGAGACAGAACCGGCGGTGGTCTTCTGACTTTCGGGATCTCCTCCTCTTCCGCGCTCTCGCATTTGTTGTCAATAATCGGCACAGTAGTATGCAATGTCCACGAGTCCGATTCTGCAGTCCTCTTGGTGTGATTCAACGGAAAATGACCCGATATTCCGGTCAACCAAGAGATACCCTCTACCCAGCCATCCGTGGATGCGCTACACGCTCCCTCTGGAACGTATATGTAATCTCCTACTCTTAATTCTAATTCGTCGTGTTCCCGGGACACATGGGCGTGCGTCACTTTGTGTACATGCAAATTCTGTAATCTTGAATCCCTCGAGTATAATCTAAGCTCCCAGTTGGCCGACGTGTTCGGCCTTAGTTTCTCGACCATCGAGCGAAGGGACTGGAATAAATTGCTGGGAAACTGGTAAGCCAGCGTAAGATGCAGAGACTTTATTTGCGGTTCGGCAGTGATACCTAGAGCGTTGATTTTATTGGCATAGCGAACAGCAATGTTTTTCAGTCCTTCCGCGTTTACATCTTTAACGAAAAGGCCCATAAAATTAGGCGACACATATGTCTCTAGCTCGATATGTTCATGTAATCCATCCTGACGAACCACATTCTCAAGAGCATTAACTAATTCTTCCGTACATTCGTCAGGGGCCTACGAAAATATGCGAAAATAATAAAATATATATTTAAATGTAAATTTTAAAATGTCAAGTATATAAAATATCTTGTATTTTGTTTTCAGATAAATAAAATTAGAGATATCTTACATCGAAGAAGGAGATGAGGGTAATATGTGGTATAAAGCTGTGAGCACCGTTCCATCCTAGATCTTTACTTTCTGACCAAAACAGCTCGAGCTGTTCAGCTAATGATCCTGTCGGACAAGCATACAGAACATATTGCCGCTGTATATCAGAATCCAAAGTTGGATCCCTCACATGTGCCAGCAGCCAATCTGATGCTAATTGCACACCACGATATCCTGTTGCAGCTAATGCCCTTTCCCTAAAAATACATAACATCATCATCAATATTGAATATAAATATCAAAATCAACAAATCATTCTAATATTTTTCCAAATATCCAGATATAAAAAAATATGTATATATAATGTTAGAGGGAGAGGGATAGATAGATAGATAAATTTATTTATTCAGAGATAAAGAGATAGTGATAAAATATTATAAAGAGAAAGCAACTTAATTAAAATTTTAAATAATACGACCAATATTGAAATATCAAGGACAATTTGTTTAAAAATTTAAATATCAGAATTTATAAGAATAAATTTTGCTCGATCGAGAACAATGCGAAATAATGCTATTCAAGACCACGTTTGACAGCTGTTTGTTTACAACGAATAAAGCACACGCGTCGGTAATATGTCATATAATAGTCACGTAAACATAATTTTATGTCACACGGCCATACGTACGCTCGGTGTTTTGGGAAACCCAACTGCAGGAGCGTTTGCAACGGTGTCAAATGCTGTTTCGAAATTTTCGTAGGAGTCGGATTTTTCCGCGGCGGCAGCGTCGCCATGACGGTACATAACTGCGTTTACTGACGTTTATTCTTCAGGCTAGCCAATCGTGCGAGCTCTATCACAGGGGGTACAGACTGTAATAGAGAAAATTTTTTTTAAATTAGCCGTTTATCGCCATCGGATCTCACAACGAAGAACAAGTAGTTACTCGTCAGGAAACAAAATAAAGGTAAAAATATAAAATACGATATTACAATTAATTGTAATTTATCGTGAAAAGTTAAAAGTTTCTAAGTTGTTCGTATTGGACATTATCATTGATATGATATCAGAAAGATTAAATCAGATTAAATAATGCTAATCATCTTTTGTGGAATATGATATATCTTTCCTATTTCTCTCTCATTGATCTTTTAAAATTTAACAACTTAATTTTACAATCTTAGTAAATAACTATAAAAACTGAATTAATTGATTCATTTCAGTAAATAATTTTGAAATTATAGAACTTGGTAAATAAATTAATTTTAATATCTTATAAAATATTAACGATATAGAGTTTTGTTTTTCAAATATTTTCGGTTAAAAAATTGATACCTCTTTTATGAAAATGTATATAAAATTGGACGTTATAATTTTTTTCAATATTTTATTAGAAGCTCATTCTATCTATAAAAAATATATATCAGGGGAAAGCTGTAAAATATAATTCATAAAAAAAAATCTGAGATAAATTACATTTCATATAATCTGTATTTCATTTTTCTTTGTTTCTTCCTTCACCATCATGTACTCCGCAACAATTTCAACAATAGCACACAATTAACGCAATTATTATTTAGAGTTAGTGTAAAAAGAAAGAAAAAACGCAGTATGATACATGGATTTACTTTTGTTTTTCATATTCGTTATATACGACACCATAGATTTTTCTATATATTATACTAGACCATTAACACATGTAAACCTTATATGGTGAAATATGATTCAAGGACAGTCATATCTAATTGGGCAGAATTCGAGATGCCGTGCCTTTTTTGATAAGGCCTGATAGCCAATATCTTACAGTAAAAATAAAACAGTGAGAAATATATCAAATGCACATATATAGATAAGAAATAAGCAAATAACTTGTAGCATACTTGGCTGTGCAACCTATATATTTCTGCCCAATTAGATATGGCTGCCCTTATATTACTGTTACCGCTATTAATGGTCTAGTATAATATGTAGAGATCTGTGATTAATATAAAAAAAAAAAAGAGAAAAAGCAGTGACACGTGGATTCAGTGGCACGTGGATTTATATATTTTTGTTTTTCATTCGTTACGGCATTCTGTTACAAACACTCTTCACGCTGCAATATTTCGGTACAGAAGTAATAAAAAAGTTATAGTATATATATATATATACATACTTCTCCTCTATGTATATATAATATTTATATATAAAATATAGGTAAAGTAACGTATTATACACGTTATTGCTCGTCTCTTATGGGATTCTTCGCTCGCAATTCGTATATTCTTTATTCACCATATCCTTAAAAAATCGATGTGATTAGGACACCCACGGACCGTTCGACGAAGTTTCAGACATTGTTGAACTGCGAGATAATTTCATCACCTCGCCCCAAATATTTATAACACTAAAATTTTTTAATACCTGAATTATAAAGATTTAAGTAGCATATTTTAACGCACAAGCGCGTCTTTGACCAAATAAATATTTTATATAATTATTATCGTATATTATTAAAGAAAGATAGAGAGTCAAACACACATCTATGAAAAGTATACGAAATATCCATTATACACAGCGAGTAGTATGAATAAAATAAAAGCAGAGAATTTCTCATTATCTCTCTTACAATTTCCGTACAATTCCCGTAGAATCACGCAAAAAATTGCTTAAGTACTTGCAAACGAATTCTTTTCAAGCTTATATAATTAATAATAAGTTAATGAGAGAAATGATTTAAATATAATGATAATTATTATATTAATAATCCTAGATATATAACAATAATAATATTATTATATATAAAAATATTCTGTAATAATAATATAATATAATTATTTAAATCATCTCTCAACTTTACATATTTGAAAAGATTCGTATTTCACTTATACATGTAATATTCTATTTTATTTTATCCATACTATTATAGTATCTGTGTGTCCGTATAGCGAGCTAACTTATGCTAAAGTCTACTAAATAATAACAAATCTTGTTCTTGATATTTAACTTGAGTTTCTAATATTGCACATTTTGACATATATCTGACATAGCGACAGATTTTCTCTCTGTCTTGAAAATTAACTATTCAAAATTTCATAAAGATACCATCGCAATCATAGTCATTCATAACGATTTGTATAAAATTTGTACGTTTTGTACAAATGATCTATTACGAGATCATACATCGAACATCGCAGAAATATAATCTTAAATTCTCTTTGCGGTATCTGTTTATCTTTATCAAGTATAATTCGTCTCTCTCGAATTTGCATTGCGCTACATTTTATGCAGATTTACGAGAGCTGCAATATTTTATTTCTGTATAACATTTAAGATGTACATCGCTCTACATTTACAAATCAGATATCACTGTCGATCAATTTCGCTGGTTAAAACTATGAGCGCAAGAATGGAATAATCATTCATTTTTAAAGGTTTTTAATTTATTAATGATAAAATTTTATTTCTGGTAAAGATACAATAAACATAACGTAAAATAATTTTTGTAAAAGTCAACTTTTTTTAGATTAAAGAGAATTAAAAACAAGAAAGAGTTAAAGAAAAATCTATAAAACATTTATTTTCGTAAATTAATATCTAATTATATTATATAAAATTCTAATTATAGCAAAGATTAATTCGCTTTAGCACACATAATTTCAATTTTAACAGATTTTTCTTGAACGATTCTACTTCTTGGCGTATTTATGAAAAAAACGTACAATTCTAGTTTTAGGATGATAAAAAATATTGGTATAGTTAGCGCATATCGAATTTCTGCAAGATCTATGTATAATAAATTTTACATATTGGCACTAATTGTTGGCAGAATACTCGGATTCGCGATCCTCTTAATAATGTTACAACATTTATTGTTAAAACATACATTTCAAATTGACAAAATATTGTTTGCCCACAATTTCTTTTTACCACGACTACATCGCGTACCTATGGTACTTGTAACTCGTGAACTTAGTGAACTCGTGATTATAGTAAATATTGCGATAAAGTTGATCATATCATAATATGTATACGATATTCGCATGAAGCTTTGATGGATTATTTTCGGCAAATGCAAGTAAACTAATTTTCATGGAAATAATTCGAAAAATTCTATACGGCAAATTAATTAATTATTATATATCGAGAAACAAAGCGACTGTCTAAATGAGGAATTGGATTCGTATGCGGTGTCAGTCTCACATAATTGGCAGTGAGTATTCTCGGAATACGCTACTGAAGTCCGTCTTAGAACATGAGGAACGGCATTTTTCGTTCCGATCATTTAGGAGAACAATTTCAGGTATTATATACGATAGTACTCACACACACATAATGTTACAATCAGATATATATATTTTTTTATACCGAAAGAAGTTAATTATTCGATCTTTCTATTCTCTTTAGAAACGCCTTGTTATCAATTTATGTAATTTTGCATTCATGTTTATAGTCTGTTACTAGTCAAGAAATACATGAATATCGGTTTCGTCGATCTTTTCCTTATCATTCGTGGTTTTTCTTAAACGAAAGAACGAAGGGGAGCGAAGAATCCCACTTTGCGATGATAATTGTAGTCGCCCTGAATTCCATTCAAAAATTCCGCGATTATTCGTCGCGATATCATCCTAAGCGTGCAAATACATATCGCGAATCCAGAAATACCTGCGAGTCATTTCTAAACGTGACAATTTCCGTTTCTAGCACGAAGGGAGGCTTAACTACTACTTTCATCGTCGTCGGATGTTGCGCTCGTCAAAAGACTCCCGTGTCATTCTCGATCCTTGCTCAGATCGGATGGCAAATCACCGCAGGTGGACAACGTCGTCGTCGTCATTGTCGTCGTTGTGGGCGACCTGGAGGTCATCCTGGAGGTCACTGGTAAAGACAATCCCGCCGCGCTCATCGCGACGTTTAGTGGTATCGTGATAAACGGTTGGCTCGATTGTGACGAGTTTGCTACCGATGTCACTGTACCTGTAAGGAAGTTACAAGGGAAAAGAACGCAAATGAGATATTCCATCATCGCAAAATTGCGATGCTATCTTTTCTCGGATTTTTCTACTTTCGATATACATTCGTGTGAAAAGAAAAACAGAAAAATTATAAGAAAACGAGAGTTTATGATTTATTGTCGCATTTATCTCTTATTCTTCTCCTCTTCCCTATTTACTCTCATTTAAATATTAATCCTTTGACAGATGTATATATAAGTTTTGAGATTTTTTTCAAAAAATGGCAAACATATATATAAGTTTTTAATTTTCATCGATAAATGTCGCATTTTTCATGTTTTTTACTCATTTTTCTCCTAAAATTTGAAGTTTTCTGAAAATGGAATTAATTTGGTGATTTCAGAGTTCAATTGATCAGAGAAATTATCAATCAACATGCAAAATCATTTGAAAGAAGAACAAGTGCCTGAAAACATCCGAAGAGACTTATTGATAGGCATTTCCCTTCTCTCATTCAATTTGAGCCTGATAAAAAAGAAAACAAAGAAGATGTGTTTATAGTTAGTAAGAAAAGAAAAGATCAGAGTCAAGGTATGAATGTAATGCTGTTCTCTATGTTGTTCTCTAACTGATTGCTTCAAAGAATATCATATTTTAACTCATTTTTGATCAAAATTATGTTTTTCCTTTTCATTAAATAAATACTTTTTATGAATTTTGTAAAAGCTCGATTTAAAAAGAAATAACTGTCCTGAAAGGATTAACATATATAAAACGCTATGCATCTATTTTAACACTATATCGCTTATAATGCGACCAGTTTGCGTTATGCAAAATCATTAGTCATAAACGTGATTATTTCTCCGGATGTTACCAGTGAATCAGATGAGCTGAAGAAGCGCGCGAGCGATTTCCGAGTGAATCCGTCGAGCTTCCCGATGTAAAACCGACTTTTCAAATTATGCTCGAAATTCTCTGCGTAACGACATTTTGAAATGAGTACGGCACGATAAATTGCATAAAAATCTTGTACGTTCCTTGCAGCGGCAGAAAAAGAGAGAGAGAGAGAGAGAGAGAAACCTACCTCCGTCTTGAGATATTTGCACCGGTTGCCCGTTTTGTCCTATGCCGAGCAAGACCCCTGGACTGGGCGAATAAATGACACTCTGAGGCATCTGGTACATAATCCCTGCAGAGAACGAAGGCACATTTCCTAGGAAATCAAAGAGAAATTGAACGTGTGAGTGGCGCCTAACACCGACAATTGACTTGGTTGAAGGTGAAATTTATCACGAGGAAATATCGAAATTCGTTCGAATGTAAGTTTGATGTAAAAAATTCGCGGCTTGAATATATTTTTAATTCCAATGCGAGATAAATGCTTTCCGAGAGGACAATTGATAATATGTGTTGAATAGAACCTAACGGGTGGATTAAAGAATGTAAGATGTAGGAAGAGATATTATATATATATATATATATATATATCCCTTATTTGTATCAAAATTGTGAAATGCGTCATTCGACATAACGTTAAACTCGTTTTCTCTCTATTGGTATAGATGTATATGCTGAGAAAAACTTAGGAATGGCGGTCGAGCCGAGACTTCAATCCAGACCACCCAGGTGCGAATCTGCGCTCTGATTCACCGAATCTCCACACGTTTAACATAAATTACTACATATGCATATTTCTTAGAAAAATACGGTAAGTTTTCAAGGAACGAATAGCCGGCGCGAAATTAATTAAACAATGAAAATTGTAATCTCTCCTTCGAGGATCTCCACGGGAGATAATCTTGATACTTTTCAAACTGATCTGAATTGACTTGCGACATATAATACTATTTTATATAAAGCCTTCCAAGAAATATCGTATTCCGATAACAAGAGTACTTGAATCCAAGAAGGGAGAGATTATCAAGTTCGTGTTAGTAGAGCAAACATTTCCTTCTATCTTACATATTCAACTTAGAGATCAGTCTTCGGAAGGCAATTATAAAATACATATCTTTCTGTACGCGTTAGTGCTCGTTAAGCCGGTGTGAAGTGCGTCTGTTAGGAGTGCATCCAAAAACTCTCTCGGAAACAATCGTATTATGTAGAGTGTATACGTTCACACACATACACACACGAGGAGAAAACATATCGTAACGTCTCTCGCGTACGCTTTCTGCATTCGAACGAGCAAACGCTCCTAATTAAAAGTGACTCGCACGGCGAACGTCCATCCATTCGCTCATGATAATGGGACCTCTCGGCGCGGGCGCGCCTTCGTTATACCGCAGGGATGTATTATACATTTGTTCGCTCTCTCGCGGAATACGGAGGGGCATAACAACCGGTGGGATTATTATCGAATTGGAACGGGCCGACGAGATCGCGAGGAAAAAAACCGACGCGCTCGCGTCTCGGACGGCGGCGCGATAGAATGGCATCCACGCGACATATTAGCATCGATATTTATGTGTACACCTGCACCGCCGCACCGTTTCTGCGGCGGCTTTCGCGACCGGATCCTACTTCCCAGTTAGGCAGCACGGTTGTCGTCTAAGTTTGGTCATCGTCGGCCGTACGCGACTCCTTACGGGCTCCCTACACGGATAACCCCGTCATCGCTCGCACGCCTTTCGCATTTTAAGAGCGTCCTCTCCCCCTCCCCCCGTCCCCCTGCTTCCTCCTCGCGTTCTCTTCCTCCTCCTTTATCTCTCTCCCACCTTTTTCTCACGCTTCGTTCCTTCTGTCTCCTCTACCTCAAGCGTCAAGCTACCTCCTCTCGGCTCCACCGGCCGGTGGATATGTTTACCTGTCTACTCACTTACCTGTGTGTCCTGAACAGCTGTTCATTATCAGCCGCGCGATGAGGTCAAGCGCGACACAAATGGTATCGGCGACAATTGAACGTGATTAGCATCAGATGACGCGAGGGAGGACGATGCGAATCAGAATTGTTAACGCGCTAAACTGTCTGTTCTTTGTCAACCCTTAATCGGTCACATATAGGTCATTTTGATCCCATCGATATTTTAACAATAAAATATCCCAAAGGCCTTAATCAATAAAAAAAAAAATGTTTAAAATTATTTTTTAACTTTTGTTGTATATGATTATTTTTAACAGATGTCGAGGAATATATATAATATAAATTTTTGTGGATTTTTTCAAGCACTTTGAGATAGCTAAAACTGCGACAAGATATGACCCATATGTGACCAGGAACGGAGCAAAAAAAAATGTGTGACCTACAAGGGCCAATTTACCTCTTAATCGCGATATTGATTGATAGGCCGTGGGACAAGTGATTTCCATTTTTCGAAGAGAGGAAAAGATACATTGGTAACAAGCGTACATTGAAAATGAGAGTTTTGCGTTAAGATTCTAAAGTTACGTGGAAGGTCTATTTCTCCATTTGGAACAGCGAAAGGTATATCATGAATATAATCACGGCCACGTGAATAACAGAAAATCGACGTAACCGCAGAACTTAATCTAACTAGAACTTCGCAGAAACTCGGGCGGTTAATAATTATGTCTGCCTAGTGGTGAATAATACGTGTTTACTCCGCGATAATGTGACCGATATTTGCAAGTCTTTCGTCTCCTTCGTGAAGAGGAAACCACATAAACCTCGTCATTTGAAAAAGGATCGTGAATCCATGCGATCGAATCTAATTCGAAATATAAATATGCCATTTTTATATCCAATACACATTTTCCTATTGAATATTAAATGATAAATTTTCTACCGTTTTAAACGATCATATAGAAAATATTAGAAATCGTGTATCTATTGAATATCTATATTTTAATCAATTGAATATAAAGTTATTTATTCCCATGAAAAAATTCACACTTTTATCAAAACAAAAAAAAAAGATATATTTTTATCCGAACATTTTTATACACGGGATGTATAATATTATTTAAAAAACACGCATTTTGCTTCTAATATTTAAAACGCTATACAATCTTATTTTTCAAAAAAAATATATAGTATTCTATATATTGTCTATATATTTTTATAGGAAAGATTCAAAGAGGAGGATGAAAAGCTTTCCGAATCTTAATCCAAGCACGGCTTTCGACAATTCTTTTGCATTCCGCTACAATGGGCCGCGCATAATGAGAGACTCACCCGAGTGATTATTCTTGAGAGGATCCTTAGAATCACCGTCGCTGCTGTCGCCGTCGCTCTCATTGGCGCAAATGTCAGATCTGGGCGATCCACCGTCCTCCTGAAACCAAGAAGAGCGATAAGTCTTGAATTATCGAAAAAACTTGCGAATTTTTTTAGGGGGAGGGGAGGCAGAAGAGAGATGACGGGAGGACACAGGACAAGACAGGACGGATAACAGGAGACGCGACGTCTGCTTTTTTCTCGCGTGGCGACGAATCAGTACCGGACAACGGTCACGACGAACGAGGAAAGAACGTTACCGAGCAACAAGGAGGAGAGTGTACCTATCAAACGAACGTACCTACCTACCTACCTACCAACCTACCTACCTACCTACCTACCTACCTAGCGGACGGAGAGATGCGCGAGCTCTTGTCCGCGCTCCTTATATGGCCACATCTCTCTCGCAGACTCCACTCGCGCGAGTGCGCGCGATGCACTCGCAGAGGAGAAGAGATTCTCTCGCGAATTCGCTCGCGACCCTCGGGCAGGAACGCTTCGTGAAATTTTCTTCCCTTAGCGTTTTCTCGATTTGAATACCTTTTACAGTAATAATCGTATGATGTACTTTTTTTTATCCGAGATATTTTTACATATTTCATTTACTTAAATAATAATGACGACCATGATTTAGTTTTTATAGAAACTAATTGCTATACGCATAAATATGAGAACGCATTCTTGTTAATATAAATTCACTGTTAAACGTCCGCATTTTGCAAATTTTATATGCATCTATAAGAGCGACTTAAATTTTTTTTTTAAACGAAAGCCGAAAGAAGGATAGCATTATTTGGCTCCCTTTCCTTATAAAAAATTATGTATAAATGTCTTTTTATTATTTTTATTTTCAATAACATTTTCAACGGCCGTGGGACAAGTGATTTCCATTTTTCGAAGAGAGGAAAAGATACATTGGTAACAAGCGTACATTGAAAATGAGAGTTTTGCGTTAAGATTCTAAAGTTACGTGGAAGGTCTATTTCTCCATTTGGAACAGCGAAAGGTATATCATGAATATAATCACGGCCACGTGAATAACAGAAAATCGACGTAACCGCAGAACTTAATCTAACTAGAACTTCGCAGAAACTCGGGCGGTTAATAATTATGTCTGCCTAGTGGTGAATAATACGTGTTTACTCCGCGATAATGTGACCGATATTTGCAAGTCTTTCGTCTCCTTCGTGAAGAGGAAACCACATAAACCTCGTCATTTGAAAAAGGATCGTGAATCCATGCGATCGAATCTAATTCGAAATATAAATATGCCATTTTTATATCCAATACACATTTTCCTATTGAATATTAAATGATAAATTTTCTACCGTTTTAAACGATCATATAGAAAATATTAGAAATCGTGTATCTATTGAATATCTATATTTTAATCAATTGAATATAAAGTTATTTATTCCCATGAAAAAATTCACACTTTTATCAAAACAAAAAAAAAAAAGATATATTTTTATCCGAACATTTTTATACACGGGATGTATAATATTATTTAAAAAACACGCATTTTGCTTCTAATATTTAAAACGCTATACAATCTTATTTTTCAAAAAAAATATATAGTATTCTATATATTGTCTATATATTTTTATAGGAAAGATTCAAAGAGGAGGATGAAAAGCTTTCCGAATCTTAATCCAAGCACGGCTTTCGACAATTCTTTTGCATTCCGCTACAATGGGCCGCGCATAATGAGAGACTCACCCGAGTGATTATTCTTGAGAGGATCCTTAGAATCACCGTCGCTGCTGTCGCCGTCGCTCTCATTGGCGCAAATGTCAGATCTGGGCGATCCACCGTCCTCCTGAAACCAAGAAGAGCGATAAGTCTTGAATTATCGAAAAAACTTGCGAATTTTTTTAGGGGGAGGGGAGGCAGAAGAGAGATGACGGGAGGACACAGGACAAGACAGGACGGATAACAGGAGACGCGACGTCTGCTTTTTTCTCGCGTGGCGACGAATCAGTACCGGACAACGGTCACGACGAACGAGGAAAGAACGTTACCGAGCAACAAGGAGGAGAGTGTACCTATCAAACGAACGTACCTACCTACCTACCTACCAACCTACCTACCTACCTACCTACCTACCTAGCGGACGGAGAGATGCGCGAGCTCTTGTCCGCGCTCCTTATATGGCCACATCTCTCTCGCAGACTCCACTCGCGCGAGTGCGCGCGATGCACTCGCAGAGGAGAAGAGATTCTCTCGCGAATTCGCTCGCGACCCTCGGGCAGGAACGCTTCGTGAAATTTTCTTCCCTTAGCGTTTTCTCGATTTGAATACCTTTTACAGTAATAATCGTATGATGTACTTTTTTTTATCCGAGATATTTTTACATATTTCATTTACTTAAATAATAATGACGACCATGATTTAGTTTTTATAGAAACTAATTGCTATACGCATAAATATGAGAACGCATTCTTGTTAATATAAATTCACTGTTAAACGTCCGCATTTTGCAAATTTTATATGCATCTATAAGAGCGACTTAAATTTTTTTTTTAAACGAAAGCCGAAAGAAGGATAGCATTATTTGGCTCCCTTTCCTTATAAAAAATTATGTATAAATGTCTTTTTATTATTTTTATTTTCAATAACATTTTCAACGACATATGTACAGAGAGAAAGAAGGAGAGATTTTGGACTACATAAGAGAGAAGGAGAAAGAGAGAAATTAGTTTCCTCAATTAAATTCTATTGTTAAAAGTAATTTTCTCAATTTAAAAGGAAACGCACATTTCCCATCTCGCTATTTATGCTAATTATCGTTTGATTCGGCAAAACTGTTGACAATACATATGCGTGCGAATCGCGCACGGAAACGCGTGCGAATTATTATCTGCGAGAGAGAGGCCCGGAGAACGCGGGCGCGCGATACCAATTGGAAAGCTCGAAAAGCCGGCACACGTTCGCTTCCGACTACCACTTTCCTACCCCTCCGCTGTTTACCCGCGAGCGGGTGTGTGTACGTGTAGAGAAGGCGCGACAAAAAGCAACATTCCTGACTCTTAAGTCGGACTCTATATAAGTGTCTGCCATCGCGAACATTGCCTGTATATGGCGACAACCGGGCTTTGACAAAGGTGACCGTATATGGAACTCCGCTTCCATCTTTCGTGCGTGCGTGCGTGCGTACATACGTACGCATGTATGTCTCTCTCTCCCTCTTTCTCACACGTGAAGGTATCTCGAGAGAGGTTTCGAGTTCCCCTCTCTTTCTCTCTGTCTGTCTGTCTCTCTCATTTTTGCCCCTCTCTCGTTACGTGTCTCGCGCGAGAAGCGATACACCTGGATGCGCGCCTTCTTCGTCTGCAACCCCGGCGGGCGGACGAACGAACGGCGTCCACAAGCGTTCTTATTCCGTTAAATCATAAATCGTGCCTCGACCCCGCGGTAGCGAAAGCCTCACGCGTGTTTCCGGCACCCGGAATTACGCGAGTATTCGTTAAACGCATCGTGATTCGCATCTCATTTACTAATAAACAGATTGTGGGAACAGCGTCCCGAGAAGATGAATCCCTCATTACGAATGAAATAGATTAGCGTAATTAAAAATTCATAAAAATTTTTATTCGAAAAATTATCACTGTAAATACTGATCAATCTCCAACAATCTGTGGTCTGAGATTTGTCATCGAAATATCTGTCGTTTTTCTTTTTCTTCTCTTTAGAGAACGATTTCAGGTCGAATAAGGGCATTTGATGCATTTGGTAAACGCCGACGAATAAAGAAATTTTTCTCGTAAGATGCCGTGTCGTTTACATTATGCTTGCGTTTCTTACCCTTCGATTTCTACTTCCGCTTTTTCCTGGTTCACGCTTTCTTTAACAAATGTGTCAGGTATTCGCATTTAATCTTTCCCTTATTTCCTTTCCAGGGTGTCTACTCGAGTCTTGCAAAAACATTCTCGCAAAATTTCCCGATTTTTTGTTCAAAATATCAGATAAAATTTAAAAAATTTTTAGATGCAATTTCGAAGTGAGAGTTTAATTATTGTGCGCTTTTTATTGTGTCTTTCATTGACATGATTACGAAGGAAAAAAAAGCAACTCAAATTTCGAATGTTAGATTTAAAAAAAGTGATGAAAAAAAAATTTTTATGAGCATTTTTCTTCGATTGTATAATATTTTCTTTCTTTTATTAATAGAATTACAATAAAGATTGTGCACTGCAAACTCGCGAGTCACATGCAAATGCGTACCTTATGATTGCCAATTGACAGATTGCTTGCAATATAACAATAGAAATATCAAAAAGACAACTTTTTAAAAAAGTTTTACGAGCCCCAATATAAAATTTTATGAAAATTCCTGATTTCTCAAGATAAAAAAAATTTCCTAAGAATATCAAGTTTCCCAGATTTTTTAGGTAGTAGACACCCTGCTTTCGTAAGTTTGACAAGACAGAAAAGTTAAATAGAGATAAAAGAAATGTCATGTCGATTGACATAAAATGAGATCTTGAAGACATTCAACGCATCAACATTGTTTTATATATTTTGGGATACATAATAATTCGTAATCTGTATTATAATAATTATTATTAACGCTATGTACTAGTAAAAAAAAAAGTATACTAACTATTTGCGTTCACCGCGTATGTATGTGTAACGAACTAAATAGTAACACATGTGGCACTTTATTTCGATCGATATTATCAAAGTGACGAAACCACGAAAATTAAACGCCAAGATAAATGCTTGCAGATATATATATATATATCCTCTACGCGCGCATATCGTATCATTATTATTACAGCTAATCGGTAAAGAGTACATTAAGAGAATAGCCGAATATTTCTATTAAAAAGAGAGATATCGATTATTTTCCCCTGTTTGATTGGAACGCAAAACCTACCTTGCGCTTCTTCCTCCCGTATCGGTTTCATCTTCAAACTTCGAACGACGTTGCAGTTATTTCCGAGATTATGTGTGCCACGCGATAATGATACTCGATGTAACTTACAACGCTGGTACTAACGCGCCATTAGAAATAAAGGAATCCCTAACGCGCACCGCGGAATGTTTTTGGACCTCTAAATATATCCCGAAACAGATTGTCAAAAATAGGCATATATATCCGCCCCGTGTCTGAAACGCGAAATAAGACTCCAACATCTTCGTAGTCCGAAATCTTTTATTGCGAGATAATCGACGAGCTCGCACACGAGAAAAAGTTTATATTAATTAAACGGAAAAACAACGAAAATGCGGAACTATTTCTTCTTAAACGCATTTTTCTTTCAAAATTATCAATAATTAATCAAAAATAGCGATGTCTATTTATATCAAGAAAAAAATTATGTATCGCGTAAATATTTGAAAAATATTTTTTTATATATGTTTATATACATATATACATGTTTTCGTCAACTTTTAATATCTCCGTAAAATTACTTTATTTGAAATTAAATATTATTTCAAGTTAAATTATTTATTTCAAAATCGAAGCGTATATTATTATTCGAATCGATAAATTTTTTTTTCTTCAAAAATTATCTAAATTAGCATGATTTAAAAAGAAAATAGGATTTTTGTGAAATACCTACCTGGCTCGCGAGAATAAAACATGACATCGGTAATATGAGAGAATCTATCAGCAGAGAATCAAGTGACAAGGTTCGAACGACTACAGGGACTATATTGTCGAAGTCGAGAAGGTATATATGCGTGTCTCTGTGTGTGTGTGTGTGTGTGTGTGTATCTGTGCCATGTACAGACGTAAAAATATATAAATATTATCACAGTATTGTACAGAGTCGCTATATCCTCTATATGTACACAAATACTAACAATAAGATATAAGACTAATCATTGTAAAAGCCGCATTATTCGCAGATATCGTTAAAAATTATATAATTAATATTATTATTGTTTGTACTCTCTGCATGCCGACGCGCACGGGAATAGATTACATTACTCTTTTTTTTTTGAGGACACAGGACAAGACAGGACGGATAACAGGAGACGCGACGTCTGCTTTTTTCTCGCGTGGCGACGAATCAGTACCGGACAACGGTCACGACGAACGAGGAAAGAACGTTACCGAGCAACAAGGAGGAGAGTGTACCTATCAAACGAACGTACCTACCTACCTACCTACCAACCTACCTACCTACCTACCTACCTACCTACCTACCTACCTACCTACCTACCTACCTACCTACCTACCTACCTACCTACCTACCTACCTACCTACCTACCTACCTACCTACCTACCTACCTACCTACCTACCTACCTACCTACCTACCTACCTACCTACCTACCTACCTACCTACCTACCTACCTACCTACCTAGCGGACGGAGAGATGCGCGAGCTCTTGTCCGCGCTCCTTATATGGCCACATCTCTCTCGCAGACTCCACTCGCGCGAGTGCGCGCGATGCACTCGCAGAGGAGAAGAGATTCTCTCGCGAATTCGCTCGCGACCCTCGGGCAGGAACGCTTCGTGAAATTTTCTTCCCTTAGCGTTTTCTCGATTTGAATACCTTTTACAGTAATAATCGTATGATGTACTTTTTTTTATCCGAGATATTTTTACATATTTCATTTACTTAAATAATAATGACGACCATGATTTAGTTTTTATAGAAACTAATTGCTATACGCATAAATATGAGAACGCATTCTTGTTAATATAAATTCACTGTTAAACGTCCGCATTTTGCAAATTTTATATGCATCTATAAGAGCGACTTAAATTTTTTTTTTAAACGAAAGCCGAAAGAAGGATAGCATTATTTGGCTCCCTTTCCTTATAAAAAATTATGTATAAATGTCTTTTTATTATTTTTATTTTCAATAACATTTTCAACGACATATGTACAGAGAGAAAGAAGGAGAGATTTTGGACTACATAAGAGAGAAGGAGAAAGAGAGAAATTAGTTTCCTCAATTAAATTCTATTGTTAAAAGTAATTTTCTCAATTTAAAAGGAAACGCACATTTCCCATCTCGCTATTTATGCTAATTATCGTTTGATTCGGCAAAACTGTTGACAATACATATGCGTGCGAATCGCGCACGGAAACGCGTGCGAATTATTATCTGCGAGAGAGAGGCCCGGAGAACGCGGGCGCGCGATACCAATTGGAAAGCTCGAAAAGCCGGCACACGTTCGCTTCCGACTACCACTTTCCTACCCCTCCGCTGTTTACCCGCGAGCGGGTGTGTGTACGTGTAGAGAAGGCGCGACAAAAAGCAACATTCCTGACTCTTAAGTCGGACTCTATATAAGTGTCTGCCATCGCGAACATTGCCTGTATATGGCGACAACCGGGCTTTGACAAAGGTGACCGTATATGGAACTCCGCTTCCATCTTTCGTGCGTGCGTGCGTGCGTACATACGTACGCATGTATGTCTCTCTCTCCCTCTTTCTCACACGTGAAGGTATCTCGAGAGAGGTTTCGAGTTCCCCTCTCTTTCTCTCTGTCTGTCTGTCTCTCTCATTTTTGCCCCTCTCTCGTTACGTGTCTCGCGCGAGAAGCGATACACCTGGATGCGCGCCTTCTTCGTCTGCAACCCCGGCGGGCGGACGAACGAACGGCGTCCACAAGCGTTCTTATTCCGTTAAATCATAAATCGTGCCTCGACCCCGCGGTAGCGAAAGCCTCACGCGTGTTTCCGGCACCCGGAATTACGCGAGTATTCGTTAAACGCATCGTGATTCGCATCTCATTTACTAATAAACAGATTGTGGGAACAGCGTCCCGAGAAGATGAATCCCTCATTACGAATGAAATAGATTAGCGTAATTAAAAATTCATAAAAATTTTTATTCGAAAAATTATCACTGTAAATACTGATCAATCTCCAACAATCTGTGGTCTGAGATTTGTCATCGAAATATCTGTCGTTTTTCTTTTTCTTCTCTTTAGAGAACGATTTCAGGTCGAATAAGGGCATTTGATGCATTTGGTAAACGCCGACGAATAAAGAAATTTTTCTCGTAAGATGCCGTGTCGTTTACATTATGCTTGCGTTTCTTACCCTTCGATTTCTACTTCCGCTTTTTCCTGGTTCACGCTTTCTTTAACAAATGTGTCAGGTATTCGCATTTAATCTTTCCCTTATTTCCTTTCCAGGGTATCTACTCGAGTCTTGCAAAAACATTCTCGCAAAATTTCCCGATTTTTTGTTCAAAATATCAGATAAAATTTAAAAAATTTTTAGATGCAATTTCGAAGTGAGAGTTTAATTATTGTGCGCTTTTTATTGTGTCTTTCATTGACATGATTACGAAGGAAAAAAAAGCAACTCAAATTTCGAATGTTAGATTTAAAAAAAGTGATGAAAAAAAAATTTTTATGAGCATTTTTCTTCGATTGTATAATATTTTCTTTCTTTTATTAATAGAATTACAATAAAGATTGTGCACTGCAAACTCGCGAGTCACATGCAAATGCGTACCTTATGATTGCCAATTGACAGATTGCTTGCAATATAACAATAGAAATATCAAAAAGACAACTTTTTAAAAAAGTTTTACGAGCCCCAATATAAAATTTTATGAAAATTCCTGATTTCTCAAGATAAAAAAAATTTCCTAAGAATATCAAGTTTCCCAGATTTTTTAGGTAGTAGACACCCTGCTTTCGTAAGTTTGACAAGACAGAAAAGTTAAATAGAGATAAAAGAAATGTCATGTCGATTGACATAAAATGAGATCTTGAAGACATTCAACGCATCAACATTGTTTTATATATTTTGGGATACATAATAATTCGTAATCTGTATTATAATAATTATTATTAACGCTATGTACTAGTAAAAAAAAAAGTATACTAACTATTTGCGTTCACCGCGTATGTATGTGTAACGAACTAAATAGTAACACATGTGGCACTTTATTTCGATCGATATTATCAAAGTGACGAAACCACGAAAATTAAACGCCAAGATAAATGCTTGCAGATATATATATATATATATATATATATATATATATATATATATCCTCTACGCGCGCATATCGTATCATTATTATTACAGCTAATCGGTAAAGAGTACATTAAGAGAATAGCCGAATATTTCTATTAAAAAGAGAGATATCGATTATTTTCCCCTGTTTGATTGGAACGCAAAACCTACCTTGCGCTTCTTCCTCCCGTATCGGTTTCATCTTCAAACTTCGAACGACGTTGCAGTTATTTCCGAGATTATGTGTGCCACGCGATAATGATACTCGATGTAACTTACAACGCTGGTACTAACGCGCCATTAGAAATAAAGGAATCCCTAACGCGCACCGCGGAATGTTTTTGGACCTCTAAATATATCCCGAAACAGATTGTCAAAAATAGGCATATATATCCGCCCCGTGTCTGAAACGCGAAATAAGACTCCAACATCTTCGTAGTCCGAAATCTTTTATTGCGAGATAATCGACGAGCTCGCACACGAGAAAAAGTTTATATTAATTAAACGGAAAAACAACGAAAATGCGGAACTATTTCTTCTTAAACGCATTTTTCTTTCAAAATTATCAATAATTAATCAAAAATAGCGATGTCTATTTATATCAAGAAAAAAATTATGTATCGCGTAAATATTTGAAAAATATTTTTTTATATATGTTTATATACATATATACATGTTTTCGTCAACTTTTAATATCTCCGTAAAATTACTTTATTTGAAATTAAATATTATTTCAAGTTAAATTATTTATTTCAAAATCGAAGCGTATATTATTATTCGAATCGATAAATTTTTTTTTCTTCAAAAATTATCTAAATTAGCATGATTTAAAAAGAAAATAGGATTTTTGTGAAATACCTACCTGGCTCGCGAGAATAAAACATGACATCGGTAATATGAGAGAATCTATCAGCAGAGAATCAAGTGACAAGGTTCGAACGACTACAGGGACTATATTGTCGAAGTCGAGAAGGTATATATGCGTGTCTCTGTGTGTGTGTGTGTGTGTGTGTGTGTGTGTGTGTGTATCTGTGCCATGTACAGACGTAAAAATATATAAATATTATCACAGTATTGTACAGAGTCGCTATATCCTCTATATGTACACAAATACTAACAATAAGATATAAGACTAATCATTGTAAAAGCCGCATTATTCGCAGATATCGTTAAAAATTATATAATTAATATTATTATTGTTTGTACTCTCTGCATGCCGACGCGCACGGGAATAGATTACATTACTCTTTTTTTTTTTTTCTATACATCTATTTGATCATCGCGAGGCCTGAGACCTCACTCGGGACTGTTCACATTCCCGTCTTTATTTTTCCTTTACTTTTTTCTCCTCTGGGTCTCTTTTTTTCGAATACACGATATAATATAGAAATCAACAAACAATACACACATACGCATGCACAATGCCGATGGTGTCGCTGCATGAAGGAAACGGAGGGAAGGGCAGGGGGGAGGAATAAAGGGGAGAAGGAGTGGATTAAATTAAAAAGGTAATCTAAATACTAACTACTTATTCTACGAGAAAAAACAATCTCCAAATAAAACTACGCATGCCAGTAGCGGTACACAACACATTATACAGAAAAAAAGAAACAATGGACGAGACACAACGATATGCTAATAAAAAAAAAAAGAAAAGAAAATGCGCAACAATACTAATTGTAAGCGTGCATCGCCGGATTCGCCCGGACTCGCGCCCACGCCACCGATCCGATAGATAGAACATAATCGTCGCAGGACGATTTTTCGAAAAAGAGAGAGAGCGAAGATCTTCGCTTCTTCGTCAGATAGAGAAGAGCCTGTCCATCTTCCTCATCGAGACGCAAACGCAAAATAAGGTACACGATACGAAAAAGGGTACCGATATCCGCTACGACTTATAGTTACAATGTGTGCGCATACACGCTGCTTTTCCCTAATAAATAAGAAAATACCGACGTCTGCGTCAATAAATATGATTTAAATTAAATAGGAAAAAAACGCGAAAGAAAAAGAGAGAGCTGCTGGACGAATGAGCGCTAACAGAGTGTATTCGGTACTCTATTATTATTCACCGAGTATAATTCATCATACA